ATATTTTCTACATGGAAGAGAGTTTCTTTGGTGGGGCTTCCTTATTTGGTTTGGCAGCGTTGGCCATTGAACGTGCACATGCAACATACTTCCCATTCAGACACTCCACATTAGGTAAAGGACCGTACATCATTGGGATAGGCTCTATGTGGACTCCTCCATTCATCGCGATCATTTCAAGGATATTTATAGAGAAAAGAGTGTTTGAAATTGTGGTTATGTCATTTATTGGATTTTCACTTGTGATCATTTGTGCTGCATATACTCTCATTGCATTGAAAGTTCGTTGCACTACGTCTCGAACCACTTATGATGTAACTATCCAAGAAAACAAGAAACTAACTGTCACTCTTGCAGTTGTAACCATTCTGAGCCTTGTAATGTGGCTGCCTTTCCAATTTCTTGCAGGTGTTGGTTTTAAAGTTTCTCTGTCTGTTCTTTATTCTGTGAAATTCTTCCAATATGGCAACTCACTCATTAATTCTGTTATCTACGCATTTCGTATGCGTGAAGTCAAAAGAGAAATCTTTCGAGTATTTCAGTGTTGCCGTGACAACCAAATCTCAATAAACAACTAAAGACAACTTGGGAATGTATGAAGACTCGAACGACCGAGATCATCAAGTAAACAGAAAAATATCGAAACATTTAAATGGCATAAGAATATTACCAGAGAATTAACATAGCAGCTGGCTATTGTTATTGTTATTGGCCATTGTCTAGAAAAGTATTGTCAATATATCTATTAGTTCGACTTTTAGAATGTAAATACATGTAAATAAATAAGTTTATACTTATTTTTAACAGAATTTTGTACATTTTGAATATAATATGTCAAGAAACTTTCTGAAAACCGACATCAGTTTGGTACAACTACTTTCCATCAATTTACAGGAAAAACATCGCTTGACCAACTATTTGTCGTTACTTTCAAAAGCGATATTCTTACAGTTCGATATTCCATCTCACACGGCGACGCTGACGGCGACGGGTTGATAAACGTCGCAGACATACGTGATGCGTTTTGACCGCTGTGCGCACAGTGTGTGTTTGTCTAGTTCACAATGAAGAAGAAATGATTTTGGGGCCCGTATCAAAGAGTTGTCTGAGAAAAATCTGCCCTTCGTTTAGCAGTCATATAATCTTAACTTATTTGAAAGTACGTGTGGACTGGTTTTTGACGATTTTCTTTGAGTAATGTCGGCTATATATCATTTTCAAGTACGGTAGATTTGTGATGAAATACCTTACATAAGTAAGAAATTAACATATCATTACCTTCACATTCTTTCGGGTGTTTGTTTAAGATTACACAGGGAAACAACGACGCAGTCGGGAGAAAGTGGTGGCCTTTCCCCCACCCAAAGCTCCCATCTTGTTGGATGCCCAGAACAAAACTCAATATGGACACTAACCCTTACTAATCCTGCGCTTCCCATGATGCAACTAAGTTAAATTGTCGATATACCAGTGATGATTTTTGCAGATATTTTGTGAATACGCTTTTTTTAGACCGGGTCGTATTATAACATAACGATAAACGGCAATAACGGCGCTCCGCGGCAACAAAAAAACAGCAAAAGTATCCCAATAAAAATCTAATAAGCGCGGTGGACATTCATATTTCCTACCTGCTTGAGACTGAATTAATCCCCAGTTGTTCATTGCAGTGATAGACTTAATTTTAGCAAATATGGTATTTATACAAGACATAATGTTACAAGACACATCTTTTACAAGAAAAAAAGAAGAAAAAAATGAATAAATAAAAAAACGATAAAAGTATATAAAAGAAAAAGACCACATTGGGACTCGAACCTATGGTTAACAGATCGAAAAAGTTTGGGACGATTCCCCCGAGACATTCTGTGAAGCTGAGGCG